AAAAAAAAAAAAAAAAAAAAAAAAAAAAAAAAAAAAAAAAGGATCAACAAAATGAGAGAAACATAAATTACCAATATCAGGACTGAAAGAGGGGTCATCATCACAGACATTATAACATCAGAACGTTAACGCAAAATTACTATTAGTATTTTTTTTTTGAGACAGAGTTTCACTATTGTCGCCCAGGCTGGAGTACAATGGTGCAATCTCGGCTCACTGCAACCTCCACCTCCCAGGTTCAAGCAATTCTCCTGCCTCAGCCTCCCAAGTAGCTGCGACTACAGGCGTGCACCACCACACCGGCTAATTTTTGACATTTTTAGTAGAGAAGGGGTTTCTCCATGTTGGTCAGGCTGATCTTGAACTCCTGATCTCAGGTGATCTGCCCACCTCGGCCTCCCAAAATGCAGGCATTACAGGCGTGAGCCACCACACCTGGCAATAACGCAAAATTATTAACAACCTGATGTCAAAAAGTCTGACAACTTACATGAAACAAACAAATTTCTTGAAAGACACAGATTACCAAAACTGACTTGGGAAGAAACAGAAAGCCTGAATACTTCCATAACTTTAAAGGAACTAAATGCAGCATCAAACTGTACACTTAAAATGATAACATTTTATTGTATGTAAATTATTCCTTAATAAAGTTAATTTAAAATGTAAAAAAAAAAAGAAACAGCAGGACAAAACTATAATATATAGTGTCCAGGAATGCACTATGAAACTATTAGAGGTCGGATGCAGTGGCTCACGCCTATAATCCCAGCACATTAAGAGGCCGAGGTGGGCAGATCACCTGAGGTCGGGAGTTCAAGACCAGCCTGACCAACATGGAGAAACTCCATCTCTACTAAAAATATAAAAAATTAGCCAGGCGTGGTGGTGCATGTCTGTAATCCCAGCTACTCAGGAGGCTGAGGTAGAAGAATCCCTTGAACCTGGGAGGCGGAGGTTGCCGAGAGCCAAGATCACACCATTGCACTCCAGCCTGGGCAACAAGAGCGAAACTCCGTCTCAAAAAAATAAACTATTAAAGAAACAAGAAAACAAACACTACAGAAATCTGGATTGTTTATTTGGGAGCAGAAGTAGTTTACAATTTTAACAGGGCGTATGGAGGGCCTTCCAACAGCAGGTACCCACTGCAAGGGGCTAGTTACAAACAGCTTCACTTTACGGAAGTTAATTAAACCATGTTTGTTCTGCGTGGTTTTCTGTAACTGTGCACTACTTTATAACACAAAAATGTTGAAATTTTTTTTTTTTTTGAGACCGAGTCTCGCTCTGTTGCCCAGGCTGGGGTAGAATGGCACCATCTCGGCTCACTGCAACCTCAGCCTCCCAGGTTCAAGCGACTCTCCCTGACTCAACCTCCTGAGTAGTTGAGATTACAGGCAGCTGCCACCAGGCCCAGCTAAGTTTTTTTGCATTTTTTAGTAGAGACGGGTTTCACCATGTTGGTCAGGCTGGTCTCAAATTCCTGACCTTAGGTGATCAACCTGCCTTGGCCTTCCAAAGCCACTGTGCCCAGCCAAAAGGCTAAGCGCTCTCTTTAAAAACTGAAAATCATCCCTTTTTTGTCTCCTTTATTCTTTGAGACAGGGTCTCACGCTGGGGCCCAAGTGGTGTGATTGTGGCTCCTGATCCTCCCAGCTCAGCCTCCCCTAGCAGCTGGGACTGCAGCCCACGCCACCACACCCAGCTAGCTTTCTCTATCTTTTGTAGAGATGGGGGTGTCACTTTGTTGCCCAGACTGGTCTCAGATTCCTGGGATCAAGTGATCCTCTCGCCTTGGCCTCCCAAAGTGCTGGAATTGTAGGCATGAGCCACCATGCCCAGAACTGACACTCTTTACCACTCCTCCTGTCACCGTCATCTCCGAAGAGGTTATGTGGCATTTCAGCGTGTTCTCTTTAGTCTAAAGGTAACTCCTCTGAGCTAATGCCACGATCTCTTTGGAGGGTATACGATACCTTTGGCAGAGAGGGTGTCAGTGGGAGAATGCTTTAAATAAAGTATCTCAAAGAACTTCAAGTTAAATGACATGTCTATTTAACAAATCTGGCCACATATTTTAACAATGAATATGCACAAAGGAACTACATACTGACACAGAAAATAACAGACAGGTACACAAAAATCTAGCTACTTAAAGAGTGGTTTTGACCGGCCCGTCGTCAACACGCTCACCACCCTCCTGTCCCTAGCGGGGCAGCACACACCATGGCCAGGAGGACAGGTGCTGCAGTCAGACTCCGGGTGCAGGCCCCATCCACACCACAGCAGCTCTCAAGCCTGGCCAGGTCCCTGTGACACTGAAAATGCCCCTGACGATGGCAATCCCTCCAAGGCAGCTGCGAGGAGGGACTGACAACAGGCACACAGCAGTAAGAACCAAAGCACCACCCAGCACGCGGTGTGCATTCACTCAGGGTCAGCGTCCATCAGTGTTTCTATATCCAGGATACAGGATATTGGTATCTGTTCTCTTGGGAAAAAGAGGGGAAAGCCTCTTACCCTCCTTTATGCTTCTTTTTCTTTGGTGTGTCTTCCTCTGATGTCCTCCTGCCTCGGCCCCGGGACCCTCTTTTTTCTTTCTGACCCCGGCCTTCTGAAAAATAAGACGCAAATACTTACATAGAATTCTCTAAAGCAAGACAAGTTTTGTGTTTTGTTTTTAAGATGGGGTCCCACTTTGTCTCCCAGGCTGACTGGAGTGCAATGGAGCAATCATAGCTCACTACAGCATCGACCGACCTCCCAGACTCAAGCGATCCACCCACCTCAGCCTCCCGAGTGGCTGGGACCACAGGTGTGCACCACCACACCCGGCTAATTTTTAAACTTTTTGTAGAGATGAGGTCTCGCTATGTTGCCCAGGTTGGTCTTGAACTCCTGGCCTCAAGCAATCCTCCTGTCTCAGCTTCCCAAAGTGCTGGGGTTATAGGCATGAGCCGCTGTGCCCAGCCTGCAAGACAAGGTTTACCCAAATATGATACTTACCATCACGATCATATGTTAGTGATTCACTACAATGACAAAACTCTTCACAACTCCACAGTTAACAGTAATAGCGAAAAAATGAACAGACTTGCTTTTTAGTCCTCGCCCTCCGGAGCCTTCGAAGTCACTGCCCTCCATCTTGTCCTTCAGATCAGCTTCGAAGCGTGCCAGGTCTGCGTCAAGCCTTCGAATGTGTTTATCCACCTACAAAAGGACACACACGGTCTCATTTTAAAGTAAAGCAAGACACCTCAGAAACCACAAACGCACAGAGTATCCACCAGGCTCGCTCTTTAACTGAGTCTTCGATGAACAAGGCCCACTCTTTCAAAGTCCATCCAAGGGTCTTGTGCTCTTTGTGCATATTTTGAAACTGCGATGGAATAAATCCCATTTAAGGAAAAAATGTGAGTGTAGGCAGGAATGAGAAAAAGTGTTATGAAACGTGGTGGAACAAGGGCTGGGACATCCGACACTGAATCTTACCTTAAAATATGGCCACCTAGAGGCCAGGCGCAGCACCTCACACCTGTAATCCCAAACTTCAGGAGGTGGAGGCAGGCAGATCACCTGAGGTCAGGAGTTCAAGACCAGCCTGACCAACATGATAAAATCCTGTCTCTACTAAAAATACAAAATTTTGGCCAGGTGTAGTGGCTCACACCTGTAGTACCAGCACTCTGGGAGGCCAAGGCAGGTGGATCATTTGAGACCAGAAGTTCGAGACCAGCCTGGCCAACATACCAAAACTCCATCTATTAAAAACACAAAAACTAGCCTGTTGGTAGTGGTGCGCGACTGTAATCCCAGCTACTTTGGAGGCTGAGGCAGGAGAATCGCTTGAGCCTGGGAGGCGGAGGTTGCAGTGAGCCAAGATCGTGCCATTGCACTCCAGCCTGGGCAACAAGAGCAAAAGTACATCTCAAAATAATAATAATAAATATGGCCACTTGAAGGCTGGGCACAGTGGCTCATGCTTGTAATCCAGCACTTTGAGAGGCTGAGGTGGGCGGATCACTTGAAGTTAGGAGTTTGAGACCAGCCTGGTCAACAGGGTGAAATCCTGTCTCTTCTAAAAATACAAAAATTAGCTGGGCGTGGTGGCACGCACCTATAATCTCAGCTACTCAGGAGGCTGAGGCAGGAGAATTGCCTGAGCCCAGGAGGCAGAGGTTGCACAGAGCTGAGATCACACCACTGCACTCCAGCCTGGGCAACAGAGCAAGACTGTCTCAAAAAAAAAAAAAAAAAAAAAAATTTTTCCGTGGGCAGATACACAAAAAAAAAGGCCCAGAAAAAAAAAAAAAAAAAAAAAAAAACAGCACAGGAATGGTCTCACATGAAGTGTATTCCCCAGTCCGTAGTTTCTCCAGCAGCGTCAGTCTACCAAAGCCAGCCTTCCACTTGGCTATGCCCATTTCTGGGCAGCTTTTCCACTTCCTTGCAGGAGAAGCAGGAATAGAGGTTGGAGGAAGAGCCGTGGCCCCCACCCTCACCATCTCATAGGTCTGCATGGGCCCCGGGCCCCGCCCTCACCATCTCATAGGTCTGCACGGACCCGGGTCCCCGCCCTCACCATCTCATAGGTCTGCACGGCCCCGGGGCCCCGCCCTCACCATCTCATAGGTCTGCACGGCCCCGCCCTCACCATCTCATAGGTCTGCAAGGCCCCCGGGCCCCGCCCTCACCATCGCATAGGTCTGCACGGGCCCCGGGCCCCGCCCTCACCATCTCATAGGTCTGCATGGGCCCCAGGCCCCGCCCTCACCATCTCATAGGTCTGCATGGCCAGCTGCACTTTGTCATCGCTGTATTCCTTGCACTTGCTGTAGGCGTTCTGGATCTTCTGCAGGCGCTCTACACGCTGGTCTGGAGACAGCGTCTTCACCGTGGAGATGTACTCTGCAGCCAGGATGTCAATCTCTGCTTTCTTATCTGACAGAGAAAGGGGGGAAGGCTAGGCCTGCACTAGACACCATGATGTGCTCACCAGATCGGCAACAACCAAAGTCAGCCAACACCAAGTTGTGGCAGAGATGCGGGCGGACGTGAACTCACGCTGTCCTGGGACCGTCCTGCACAGTCTCGCATTGTGTGGATGTGCAGACTCTACGGCACGGCAGCGTGCCCAGGGCAGTCCCAGTTCTGACTGCTATGCAGCAAGTGCTCACAAACAAACTGACTCTCAAACAAACCTCCTGAGTCAATAATTACGTGGTCACCTTTCCTATGAGCTGACATACTCCTCTTTTGTTTTCTTTTTTTCTGGTAGAGCAGTCAGAAAGAACATACTCCTCTTAAATACCCTAAAGAAATCTTACGTAACCTAAAGAAATACACATGAGAAGACATTCATGACAGCAGAAAACAGAAAACAACCCAAATGTCCAATCCTCAGTAAAATGGAAAAATAAGCTGTGGACCCTTCAGACAACGGAGTGCTACCCAGCAACAACAAGAGCTCACTCCAGCTACACAGAGCAACACGGAGACCCCACAGATGACATGGGGCAAAAACAGCAAGAAACAGAGGAAAATAGACGGCACAATTCCATTAATGCTAAGGGCAGAAACAGACACAACTCTTGGCTCTTCAGTTTAGAGAGGTAAGAAAACTACTGTTAAAGGTGGAAGGTGACTGTCACCAAACTCAGTGTCCCTGTTGATTGGGGATGGGTGTCATGACTAGGAGGGTCACAAAGGCCATCAGGTGCTAAACGGCTTGGTTTCTCCATCTCGGCAGCAGAAAACAGAGAGGTTCGTCTGGTAATATTTGTTAAGGAATCTATAAATGTTGCACACATTAATATATGTTACGTTTCACAATAAAATAACTCTCTATATTCCCTAGTCAAGATGCTGTACCTAAGTGAAAAACACATCTATCTCAGTCTTGCAAAAGATGTGCCCAGCATAATGAATAAAAAATCTCAGGCCGGGCACAGTGGTTCACACCTGTAATCCCAGCACTTTGGCAGGCCGAGGCAGGCGGATCACCTGAGGTCAGCAGTTAAAGACCAACCTGGCCAACATAGTAAAACCCTGTTGCTACTAAAACTACAAAAATTAGGCCGAGTGTGGTGGCTCATGCCTGTAATCCCAGCACTTTGGGAGGCCAAGGCAGGTGGATCACAAGGTCAGGAGTTCGAGACCAGCCTGGGTAACATGGTGAAACCTCGCCTCTAATAAAAATACAAAATTAGGCTGGGCACAGTGGCTCAAGCCTGTAATCCCAGCACTGTGGGAGGCCGAGGCGGGTGGATCACGAGGTCAAGAGATCGAGACCATCCTGGTCAACATGGTGAAACCCCGTCCCTACTAAAAATACAAAAAATTA